AAGGTTACTGAAAACCGAATAAAATTTAAGAAGCTCCATATGGGTAGGAGCTAAGTCTTTTACTCAAGGTTCCATCCTCAACTCCCACTACAATCAATGATTGTTACTGGAAGATGCTCAATAAATATTTATTGAATAAATGGATGAGGGGACAAATAACCATGTCTTCCCCATAAGGGCCAAATATTTGCATTTACACTTTGCTTCCAAAATGGTTTCAAAGAAACTTTTTTTTTCAGGATTCACAAAACTTTATTCATTTAGAATTAACAAGCTGTTTATATATCACTTAATATTGTTTCACAAGCTTGTAGGACATGGATTATCTTTGAGGAATTATTTTGATTTGCATGAAGTTTACAACTTTGTGCACAGTATGGTATTTTCCCTGTAAGTAAATAATAAGCAGTCTGAAATATCACATGAATTCTAAAACTTTGAGGGTTTTTTTTTTTAATTATTATAATGAAATACTAGCATGGTGAGATGTAATGTTTACAGTTTTAATCTGTCAGACCCATTGCCTCTAAAATAATTAGCTGAGGGGCGCCTGGGTGGCGCAGTCGGTTAAGCGTCCGACTTCAGCCAGGTCACGATCTCGCGGTCCGGGAGTTCGAGCCCCGCGTCGGGCTCTGGGCTGATGGCTCAGAGCCTGGAGCCTGCTTCCGATTCTGTGTCTCCCCCTCTCTCTGCCCCTCCCCCGTTCATGCTCTGTTTCTCTCTGTCCCAAAAATAAATAAACGTTGAAAAAAAAAATTTTTTTTTTAAATAAAAAAAAATAAAATAATTAGCTGAAATTATATGACATCACACTCGCTTCCATTAAAGCCAGACACAGGCAACTCTCATTTGTGTGTTTGATAGTGGGCGACCAGTAGTGCATGTCATCACGAACAGCACATAATCTCATGCTACATTGTTTGGGTATTTTATAATATATTTTCAAAAATTTTTATTCAAATATAAATTGACACACAGTGTTACATTTGTTTCAGGTATAAGAGGCTTATACTATTAAGCAGATCAAAATTTTAAATTATAAAAACAACCAGAATGAAAAAGATAATTAACCAGTTACTGCAACTGAACAGTAAATTTTTATTTAAGCTGCCTAAAAACCAATATAGAAAGCATATTTTCTATATTTTATAAAAAGAAAGTAAACGAGTACTTCTGGAGATAAAAAGCCTTTACTGGTACTGAACTATATCTGACTTCATAAATTCTTATTAAAAGTAACATGGGGGATGCCTGCGTGGCTCAGTCAGTTAAGCATCCTACTCTTGATTTCGGCTCGGATCATGACCTCACAGTTTGTGAGATTGAGCCCCATGTCAGGCTTCTGTGCTGACAGCGCAGAGCCTGCTTGGAATTCTCTGTCTGTCTCTCCCTGCCCCTGCCCATACTCTTTCTCTCTCTCAAAATAAATAAACGTTAAAAAAAAAGTAACATGGGGTATCACAGTAGATAATATCTCAGATATTTCAGTTATATAAAAAACCACTCAACTGAAATTTGGAGATACTAGGAAAATAAAGTTTTCCTTTCCTTTTTGTCAACATGAAGATAACCTTATATCAAGGCCAGAATCCAGATATCCAGATAATAAGCATAATAATATTCTAATGAGCCACTTCACTCATGGCTGCCTTAATTCTCAAGGGTTACTAATTTTACAATATTCTGTGAGGTGAGAGACATGCATAATTTTACTTCAGGTCCTAGGTAAGACAAAGAGAATAAAAGAATTTAGGTGCTTCTGTCCAGGCCTTTTTCTCTGCTGCTCCAACAACTCTATGGGTATTCTTCCATACTTGGTGCTGAGGACTTTTTCTTTCTGTTCCTTGGAGAATAATCCATCCTTACCTCTTCAACCAAAGTCTCTAAGAGGAAGATTCCCAAATTCCAAAGATACCCAGTTCTGACAACTTCCTAGAAAGACCATGTTAAATAATTGGTCAACCACTATTTTTACTTAGAAATTCTCACTGTCTTTTAAAATATACAATATTTCTAAAAGCAATTCCCTCTTCTAAATAAAACCAGTGACTGTCAATGGTACCAAAATTCTTCTGCTCTCAAATTAAAAACCTTGTAATTCTTTGATTTCTCATTTTATTCACATCCCTCTCATATCTACTTAGTCCCCACATCTTATCATTTCTTTCTGTGTTTTGTTTTGTTTTGCTTTTGAGAGAGAGCAAGTACAAACAGGGGAGGGGCAGAGAGAGAGGGAGAGAGAGAATCCCAAAAGGAGTCAGTACTCACAGCGCAAAGCCCAACGCAGGCCTTGATCTCACAACCTTTGAGATCATGACCTGAGCTGAAAATCAAGGGTAGGATGCTAAACCAACCAAGCCACCCAGGCGCTCCTCATTTCTCTTTTGAAGTCTCCATTCTCTCCCTTTGCCATCCCTCCTCTACCTATTCCAAGCCCTTACCATTTCATATCTGGATTATCACAACAGCCTCTCACCTGATGTTTCTACCCATACCTATCCTCTACACTTGCCAAAATAAGCTTAGGTTTTATTTTAATCCTGTTACAGCCAGGCTCAAAAACCTTCCATGGTTTCCCAGTATCCTCTGGAAATGTCCAAACTCTTTGAGAATGAATCTCAGGACTCTGGAAACCTCTCCGCAGGGGACCTGTGCAATCTTATCACCCTTTACCTAGTCTATGCAAAGCCCACTTATCACCACTCTCTGAGTCCCCTGCTCAGGCCTGCCACTATTCTCACAGTAACACCCCATCTGAATTTATTTTTTCTTCTATTCCAGTGAAATCCTAGCTACAATTCCAAGTTCGACTTACTTTAGTTTTACTTCCTCTTTGAAGTCCTCTACTCAGAGTATAGCACATAGTGGTCTCTCCCTTAATTCAAGAAACATTTTAAATAGATAAGGCACTATAGGCATACAGATAACACAACTATTCCTGACTCCTTACCAGCACTACTTATTAAGCCTTAAAATATGCTTGACACAGTGCTAAATACATTATACATACTACCTAATGTCAACCTTTACAAAAAATCTGTGATGTATTACTATAGTATCATTTTATTTTTATTTTTTTAAAAAAATTTTTTAACGTTTATTCATTTTTGAGAGACACAGAGACAGCGTGTGAATGGGGGAAAGGCAGAGAGAGAGGGAGACACAGAATCCGAAGCAGGATCCAGGCTCCCAGCTGTCAGCACAGAGCCCGATGTGGGGCTCGAACCCACGAACTGTGAGATCATGACCTGAGCCGAAGCCGGACACTGAACCGACTGAGCCACCCAGGCACCCCTATAGTATCATTTTATAGATGAGGAGGATGAGACTCAGAGAGGTTAGATAACTTTCCTGGGACCAGAGAGTAATGGTGCTACCACCTGTCACTGTGCACTACTGCAGTGAGCTGTGAACTGCACAAGTTGTGTTGTTATCCATAGCAGAACTGGTGGGTGAAAACCTAGGATAGTCTGATTCCACAGACTGTGCTCTTAACTATTACATTATACTGCCTCCCCAAGGATCCAGCTGGCAAGGAGATTACAATCTGAATTCTAGTTGCTATCACAACCACATTTTTCTTTTTTTTAATTTTTTTAAAAAATTTTTTTTTTCAACATTTATTTTTATTTTTGCGACAGAGAGAGACAGAGCATGAACGGGGGAGGGGCAGAGAGAGAGGGAGACACAGAATCGGAAGCAGGCTCCAGGCTCTGAGCCATCATCAGCCCAGAGCCCGACGCGGGGCTCGAACTCACGGACCGCGAGATCGTGACCGGAGCTGAAGTCGGACGCTTAACCGACTGAGCCACCCAGGCGCCCCACAACCACATTTTTCAAAACCATAAAGTGAAATACACTATTAGCAAGACAGAGAATTAGAAATTAAGATATCCGAGAAAGCCTAGGATATATAGATGCTATATCATTTACTAATAAAACTATTTATTAATAAAACTATTCTTACTGAATATATATATCTAGCTTTCCAGAAAGTAGAGCTCAAGTTGGGAACAAAAAACTCCACAAAAACCTGCTGAGCTCAGGGCTCCTGGGTGGCTCAGTCAGTTGAGTGTCAGACTCTTGGTTTCGGCTCAGGTTGTGATCTCAAGGTTCGTGAGATCGATCCCCACATTGGGCTCTGTGCTGACATTTGTGGAGCCTAGTTGGGATTCTCTCTCTCTCTCCCTCTCTCTCTGCCCTTCCCCTGCTTGTGCTATCTCTGTCTGTCTCAAAATAAACAGATCAACAACAACAACAAAAGCTGCTGAGCTAAACACTTAATCGGCAATGCTAAAGGCAACATTAAAAATCAGAACAAGTGAGGGGTGCCTGGGTGGCTCACTCAGGTAAACGTCCTACTTCAGCTCAGGTCAGATCCCGTGGTCTGTGAGTTCGAGCGCCACATCGGGCTCTGTGCTGACAGCTCAGAGCCTGGAGCCTGCTTCAGATTCTGTGTTTCCCTCTCTCTCTGCCCCTCCCCCACTCATGCTCTGTCTCTCTCTCTCTCAGTAATAAACAAAAGTTAAAAAAAATTTTTTTTAAGCAGAACAATTGATCTTCTTTCCTGTCTTAATGTTTTCATGTTAAACAAGGCTCCATACCTCTTAGCCACTTTATTTTTTCTTTCTTTCCGTAAAGGTATTGACATTCATTTGCCATTACACTGTCCTAGTTTCCAGTTCCTATCTCCAAACATCCCTTCATTTGACCCAGCCCGACATTTTAATGTACTTTCCACAATAAAAGGTACCCCAATTGACTGTTGATTCTTCCTTATGAAATTACTGATACTTTAGTATTCCAACTTGGTTTACCCTATTGTTATTGTTATAGCTTTATTATTGTGTAGTCAATATGTTTTACAATTCTGTAACTAAATTTTAAGGTAGTGACCCCAATTCAATTAATATTGTACAGGAAAATAAATTTTAAATCTTCATAAAGGGCACTTATGATTCATATACAGCCTATAGTTTGGCTTACTCTGAAGCACTTACATTATTATTGTGAAGATATTCAATTGCCCGAAGGATCTGGAACAGGTATTTTCTAAGTCGTTTACTCTCCAGTCCGTGACAATAATGTTGTAACTCATCTAATACTGTGTGGTCAATAAATTCAAACACCAAATGAATTTTCTTTTTCTGTCTAAAAACTTCAATCAGATTGACCAGGTTTTCATGATGAAATTGCTATTGACAAAACAAACAGATTTTTAATAAATTATTACGTGCACAAAAATTTGTACATATAACACATATAATTTTAAAGTTTATTTATTTTGAGAGAGAACGTGCATACATGTAAGGGATGGGCAGAGAGGGAGGGAGAGACAGAATCCCAAGCAGGCTCTGTGCTGTCAGCAGTGATTGATCCCACAAACCATGAAATCATGACCATAGCTGAAATTAAGAGTCAGATGTTTAAACAGCTGAGCTACCCAGGTGCCCCAAGATGTATGGAATTTTAAAAAGCAAAAATATTCTTAGCTTCTTTTACTCCATGCATTTCAATAGAAAATTTTCAACTTATTTGCTTACATTCCTATTTTCTAAAATGCTAAACTTGGGGCACCTGTCTGGTTCAGTTGGAAAAACATGCAACTCTTGATCTCGCAGTCTTGAGTTTGAGCCCCACGTTAGGTGTACAGATTACTCAAAAAATAAACTTAAAAAAAATTCTAAACTATTTCATAATCATATAAAACAAGGGGAAATGTACTGCCTTACTTGAGGTTGGCATTTGATTGCTTACTAAAATAACTTGGTTAGTGTACTATAATACAACTTGGTATTATCCTTTCACTTGGTTTATAGTTAAATTTAATATCTGAAATTTAAAATGTTTTTACATCTTTGGGCACCTGGGTGGCTCAGTTGGTTAAGCATATGACTTCAGCTCAGGTCATGATCTCACGGTTTGTGAGTTCGAGCCCTGCATCAGTCCCTGGAGCCTGCTTCGGATTCTGTGTCTCCCTCTCTCTCTGTCCCTCCCCTGCTCTGTGTGTGTGTGTGTGTGTGTGTGTGTGTGTGTGTGTGTGTGTCAAGAATAAATAAACATTAAAAAAATTTTTTTAAATAAAATATTCTTACATTTTCAAGCGAGCATGGATTTCAGTGCCATTCAGTACATGATATGAATTTTAAGAAATTATTTTATTAGTTTGATCCTAAAGTCTCAAAAGTAAAACTTAAGTTCCAAGTGGACAGTATAAATTAATAATACTAGAACAAGAGCATCAAAATATCTAGAACCCTTTCAGATATGTGAAAAAACAATTTATAGCTATAGGAACTTTATAAAAATATACCATTGTTTGTGGATACCTTTTTGTTCACTATCTGTAATATTCTATTAAGCAATAAAACATCTTTTTAAACTAGTAACACTGTTAAAATAACTTCCAGGGGCGCCTGGGTGGCGCAGTCGGTTAGGCGTCCGACTTCAGCCAGGTCACGATCTCGCGGTCCGTGAGTTCGAGCCC